TGTATGTATGTATGTATGTATGTATGTATGTATGTATGTATGTATGTGTATGTATGTGTGTATGTATATATATATATATATATATATGTGTGTGTGTGTGCATGTGTGTGATTCTAGTCTGCGAACTAAGTAACCTTGCACAAACAGGTTCTCTTCTGTGGGGGTGAATGGTGACATATCGTTGCTTCTAATACGTATGCATTTATTTCCCTTTTAAAGAAATAGTCTTCTTTTGTCATAGAACGAGAGTGTTCTGATTGCTCTTAAGATCCTTGGGAGTTATTGGCCTTCCGAATCTTTTCAATTTTCATTCTCATTTATATTTTTACGCCAAGCTTGTTCCTCGTGCGCGCAGTAAATAATTTACCTGCTTGTAAATATGAAAAAAAAAAAAGTTTATCAAGTTGTTGCTGTGTTGCATATACAAGCCGTATATCTAGTCTATGTAAGTACACTGGTTAAAAAAAAAAAAAAATTAACTCTAATGTTTTTATATTTTGCCTCTATGTATTTTTGGCGTGTATGTATATTATTACTTTACTTGGCTTTTAGTTACAAATCTTGATTCATGCTTTGTGCTGTTTTTTGTGCTTTTCGTATACATAGTAACGAAATCTTGAAATCTTGTTTAATTGGTTAACAAAGACCTCATTTTTTGTTTATGTCTTTTTTTTTCTTATGTTTTCCTCTCTCTTTCTCTATCTGTCTCTCTTTCTGTTTGTCCGTTCTTATATTCATTGTTAGCCTTATTTGAATAGAATTGCATTACAGATGTTTATTTACCTATGATCGGGCTACAATAACTTTATTCATGCGTTTGCTACATATTACGTTCAGAAATCCATGATTATAGCTTATGTATGAAAAAGACTGTGTGGCATTCTAGACAGACGCAATGGGTTTGTTTAGGATATATATATATATATATATATATATATTGTTTAGGATATATATATATATATATATATATATGTTAATAAAAATTTTATAGTCGTAAAACATTTAAAAATAAAGGCTTGTTTTATCCATTGAATGCAGCCAATGAGGATCGGAATCTTATCCTTGGTTTATGTAAAAATTCTTTTGCTCTGAGTCTCGTTTTTACACATTTTGCAGACGTTTATAAACGTTAGTATTTATGCTACGGGCGTTTTCTTAATACTCACGAAACTCATCGTTAATGGTCACGGAAACTCAAAATTAAGCGATGACCTGGATATACTGCTTATTTTGTCCTTTTATCATCTAATTATATATAGAATTTTAATATGTACGCATAATCTATTCATAAAAAGGTTTTCTTAGCATAATATGCTTAATGGATTAATGACAAGACCATCGGTACATCATCTTACTGATATTTCAAGCATTGTTTGATTTCATTTAAAAAAAAAAAAAAAAAAAAAAAATTTCGGCAAAAAAAAAATGAAGACCTTTCTTTGCGGGTCTATAGCTCTCTTTTAGATTGATCATAAATTAGAGACAGTGTAAAAAGAGCGTAAAGATAAATTCGAATTTAAGTAGCAAAGAGGCCTACCATATACCTTAATAGAGCTGTGTAAACGCCCTAACAGTGCTATGGATTGGGTGAGATTGATTTTTTTATTTTCAATATTAAAGCTTTGTCGCATAGGCACGCGGGCGTTGCCGACTTACAGGTTTTCCGATAAGTTTTCCGTCACAAATAGAATGACAAAATTAATTCGTTCCTATCCTTCGAAGTCTGCGGATAATTTTCGCGGCGTTAAATTTATAACAATTGCCTCAAATTAATTAACTGTCTTTCATGCATACTATAAAGATGGTTGTATATGTATGAGCATCGCATGTCTGAAGCAGCAGCCTATTGTTCACAAGCGTATTCATATATGGGAATATAATGTTTTATTTATTGTACCATCTTTATCTGCTCTTTCCAATGCTGTATACTAAACTTTTCGAAAAGTACTATACTTACTGTCGAAGAGGAAAAAGTAATCCTGCAAAGAAAGCACGAGAAAAATGTCTGATTTTAACGACAACAGCCAAAGACGCGTGATGGCTTTTTCATGAGTTGGAATTCGATTTTATCCACAAAGTGTTTGGAAAAACTTAGGATATGGAATTATTTGCACGCAGGGCATCAGGTAACACACGATCACAGTAGGAGTGTCGTAACGATCCTTTTCTGTTAAACCATATAGTATCATCTTTTTGGGATTACCAGAAGGATCGACATTGATTCATTAGATTAACGGTGTCGCCTTCCTGGGGAAGCTAGCTTGATAGTCGTGATCATAAAAGAAGTTAACATCGAAATACCTCGATTAAAGAATGTTTCAGAAAAAACTGAGACGATATTGTTGACCAACTTTCATTTGCATAACTGGAAAAAAAAAGAATACAACAACGATCTTCGCATGATAAAAAGCATTATCGGGGAGAATATGTTGTCTAAGGCTAGCAGCAATGGATAGAAACCCCGGAAGCGGGGGGTGGACATAAGTAATGGTGCGCATCATTTTTGTCTATCTAGCGACAACATCTTGAAGATGTCAGTTATTCAGAAAACCTGAACTTAAATAATGGGCACCAGTAACCCATATCGGCCCATTTCGAGGTAGTGTGAAATTTCGGGATAATAACGTGAAAGTGCTAGTAGTAGTTGGCAAGGGATTGCCACTATGGCAACCAAAAAGGGGTATATATCCATAGACGTGTACTTATGTTCATATATATATCCTACGTATGCATGCATATATCAAATTTAATATTATTTTCCATCTAACTCGCGGAGGATTATCCAAACAAGCGGATCTACTTTCCAACAAACACTTCGCGGACAGGTATAAACAACAAATTCAAAACACAACACAACAAATGCAAAAATCCTTAAGATGGTAGACGGATGATCGAAAGTTTTAGCGGACGAGCTGATGTTATGTCATGAGCTATTCTACGATCACCTTCGGCCCATAATTATTTAAATAATTTTCATAAATACAGAATTCATCTACAGTGAAGATTCAGCTGAATTACGTAGCTTCATACATATGAAGACTTATCCTAATTACAATTCAAATAAAAAAAGTCTTAAAACAATAAATTAATACAAACATAAGAAAATGAACAATATGTCTATAAATTATGTGTGATAGAGAATATATTAAGACATTTTTGTTGCTAGATGAGAGAGAGTTGAGATTTCAGTGTACAATTTTTATAAGGAAATTTTTCTATTTTATCAATCGTGTCAAAAAGAAGTGAGCAGAAGTGAAATTGAGTAAGATTTTTCAAAAAAAATTTCGCTACATTTTGAAATGTTGATGTCAAAGGTGCGACCCGCTTCAGTTAATCTGGTAAAATTTTAGAAAACAGCCTGAGAAGACTGAATGAAAAATCAATCGATTAAATATCGATCACAAAGCAGTTTTAAACCATCTGTCCAAGACCAGATACCCAAAGACGTTTGAGGCTTAAATTGATGAAAAATTTGATTGTTTCAATTGTTGTAGTGCCAGGTAAAATGCGATGATGTCGTTCGAAGCGATCATAGTCAAAAAAAAAAAAATAGCAAAGTGAATCATCATCATAAATGACTTTAAAGACAAGATTGAAGCTTGTATTATAAAAGCGTGTGAAACGAATTGTTTTCATTCGTTCTGGCAGCATTAAGTTACATTACAGTAAACGATTCAAAAAATGGCTAAATAGAGAATAGAGGTGCAGGTCAAATACACTTGAGGAATTCTGATATATACATATATGTGTATTATACATATATATAATCCTTTCCATATGCACTCTCCCTTAAATTGGTCTAAAGTTGATTCCAGAAGAGGATTGTGAAACTTGCTTCGACAAGATTTTCGGTAATAAACTGGGGCAATATTGTAATGGCTGTCGACAATAATGGCCATTAAGTGCTTAAATTAAATTCCTATTGAGCAAAAATTTAATAAAAAAAATCTCTTAATACTTTTCGATACACGCCCCAATATATATATATATATATATATACCATTTATTATCTTACTTGGAGTAACTTTGTTTTTTCTTTCACACTGTTAGACAGCGAATAAGATGTTTATGTACTTGTAAGTTTAATATGTGCATTGCCTTTAAATGATTTCCTTCATTCATTCGTTCCGTGTTATTTATATCTTTATATTTCTGATTACATTCTTTTGTGGTCTTTGTTTCATTCGTTGGTTGC